ACTCTAAACTTTAAGTATTTCATTAACATAGCATTCAGACCACATTGTGAGAAACTCGATACATGTTAAACAAGTAGCATAATTTAACTTAATCACAATTCATGAATGATCGTCACAAGCTCAACTAATCAAATAAAGTTTTTCAGCTTCAGAACAGAAGTGTGAGTAAATAAAGTAACATCATTCATACCTTCTGATCAAGAATCTGAGGTTTAACCTCTTCAACAATGGCCTGGTCAGTTTTTTTACCTCTTCTTTTCCTAACAAAGACACGGAGTTCTTGAACCAATTCCTTATTTTCTCCACTTTCAGAACCTGTAAGAATTATTGAAAAAAAAAAAAAAAACATTTGAGAACATGGGGGCCCTGCAAGCTGCAACCTTGAAAACTTAAAACGAACAAAATAGAAGAATATACAAAACAAACACGAGCATTTCACCTGTGATTTTTGATCCAGTAGATGGGTTCATCTCCCTTTTGGCTGACGAGAATCTTGTGATTCGCATTTGGCTGAAGGTAGCTGAAAGGATGGTTTTTGGTGAATTTACATGTACGAGTGAAGAAATGTTCTTGGGCAGAGGCAAGGACATTTTTTCATTTCATTTCTGAAGGAGATTGAAAAGATATTTGCAGTGTTTTGTGACCCCGACCGGCCAGGCGGGTCGACTAGGGACCTGGTCGACTCGGAGTCGAAACCGGTTCGGGTGGGCTATTTGGACCGGCCAACAACGGACCCGGTCAAAAAATTGATCATATTCGATAAATTGGCATAATAATTGATCTTATTCAATATATATATAATTGATCTTATTCCATATATTTATGTGTATTTTTAATTTATGTTAAAGAAATATATGTTAATACTACATAAAAAAACCATTTTTGTAACAATAAATGTCTGACTAGCTGGTTTTTTTAGTTGATTTTAATGAATTTTGACATTTCAATTGGTTCTTGATGAGTTTGCTGAAAGCCTGAAACCAATAGTTCATGTGTCCGGTTTCAAACCACAAGCTCCGCTTGATTTTTACTGCAAAAGATAAAGACTTTTTCGAGTCATATTACGGTTTGCGGTTTTTTCTTCCTATCGTATTTGTCTAGTCGTTCGAGTTTTGAACCTGAATTTCATGTTTGTTGAAAGATTATGGAATGCAAGCTTCATTTCGGCTTTGGAAGTTTTGAGTTTCATGTTTGACAGATTATGTAATTAGCTTGCAGTTTTGATGGCTACAAACCAATTGAGTACTACTTTCTGTTCACCTCATAACAGTGCACACAAATAAAAGCTTCACTAGGCAAAACCAGTCGATCGAGCAGCTAACCCAATTACCATCGACATTTCACTATATCGATGGCTACAAACCAATTGAGTACTACTTTCTGTTCACCTCATAACAGTGCACACAAATAAAAGCTTCACTAGGCAAAACCAGTCGATTGAGCAGCTAACCCAATTACCATCGACATTTCACTATATCGTAAAAATACCAATGTTACCTTGCCGTAATTTATGTTTTACATACCATAAAAATATCAAGAATTCGAGTTGCTTAGACATAAGACTAAAAAATGGACTAACAAGACCAATAGATTCCATTCAAATCCCCAGGACCAGTAGAGTACAGTATCATATCCAAAAGGGTGTAATTACGTCAAATCTAGTCGGCTTTCTTTCCCCTGAACTTGTGAGTAGGGATTCGGCTAAGGACACGAGCATCGAGCTTTCGGTAGTTGTGTTGAAGCTGGTCGAGGACTTTATACACAAAGGCATCAACTTGATCTTCATATCTTTCATACAGAATGGGCAATGTGTGTGCAGCCACAAAACCTTCGAAGAAAAAATATACCGAGTTTGTAAGTCCATAGAAAGTCAAGTTTCATTTTTTCTATTTTTTTTTTCCCTTTCTAATTAGTGAAGCCAAATATAAAAGGCTGAATATTCATGTCATGGAGTTTCAGTATCTAATCAAACAAGCATTCCATAAGACGGCACCAATATTTTGTACCTATCGGTTGTTTTTCTTCTGTCTTTCTTTTTAATGAAACCAAATCTTAAGGGCATTGTATTCATGTTATGAAATTTCTGATTCACTGCTCAAGCTAGTCGATAACATAATAACAAACATATTAAGTTTCTCCTATTTATATATTAAAACCCTGAATAAAAAAACATAGGATTTAATAGATAAAAGCAAATACCAAGAAAGAAAGTAAATTAAACTGCAGCTTGAGCAAAAAAAAAAAAGGAAGAAAGGAAAGAGATTGCAAAAGGCAATGAATGACAGGCTTCAGATATTAAGCAACCAAACTGACCAACATAAAATTTTGAAATCTCGTAAGTGTTGAGTAATATTACCGATATAAATCACAGTCAAAAAGTTGCACCAGCTTCCAATAATAGCAGCAGCCCACAAACTAGCAACAGCCTGTAAGTTGCAATAAGATGACAAAAATTTTAACTCTTGGAAGATGAAAAATCACCAATAAGTGCAAATATTGAAAAGTAAAAAATCTTTTCG